CCCCCCCCCTCCGGGGGGATCGCACATGCATCTCACTTTCTCTCACCGGCGTCCATGACAATGTAGGACTTTCAAGCACAACCATACACATATTAAATTTAATGCAAAGCACCGAGCCTAGTTGGTCTACCTATAATGATGCACGACAGCAATTTAGAGGTGCCAGCTGAGGCTTTCTTCCTCCGTTGAGAAGCATGCGCAGTAACGTATGGAGAAGCCAAGTCGGACACATTCGGGTCCATGGACAATGCAAAAGGTTATGGCAAACATAGCTGAAATTTATTTGTAGTGTATTGCACTTTAGATAAGCCGAAGCCTTCCGTTCTGGTGTGTTCGGGACTTCATGATCAATCCCGGTTTGACTTTGCGAGGGTCCTCCCGTTTGATTCTTAAACCACCACCGTAGGCCTATTTTTTCCCCATGCAGAGTACACGAGCGGCTACATTGACCCCTGAACAATTGATAGGGAAGTTTGATACGCGCTGTCAGCTTCAGCTTTTGTCATTCACGAAAGGCTTGCGCCTTAAACGGCACCGCAGGCTTCGTCAACAACTCGCACGTAGTATAGAACACTATAGGCTTCGACCAGTTTGTCGATTTTCCCCTACTTTTTCAACGAGAACTAGCCCGCTCCTCTTTCTGTCGCAGAGACTGCCATCTTGCTTCCCACATGCGCTGCAACCCGAGTAAATCGTGGCGCATGTCTTTCAAAGTGCTTTCAACATCTAAGCGGCTTTCCTGTCTCCGCAAAATGCTTTCGCCTGGAAAGAATTGATGCAGAAGGTTCCGGTACATTTCCAGTACCTCGTCAATTTCGTCCTGCATATTTATTATGAGAGTTGTGGCGATATGCTCAACAACCTCGAGGATGATTATTTTTAGCGTTGACCGAACGATGTGTGATTTGCTCTGAAGCAGTAGGGCCATTAACGGAGACTGTAGACTGATCCTTGCTGAAAAATGACTGGTGGTTTTCACGCCTTCTTGTTGTAGTCCTTCGAGCGGCGAGTCACAGAGGGTAGCCGTTGGTTGGTCTCGGACAATGGCTGAAGAAGGGGCTTGGGATGCCTTTGTTGCCTTATTCATGTAGCGTATCGGGTCAAAACCTGCAAGTGTACGAGAGTCGATTTCTCGTGACTGCGCATGCCCACTGTTTTTTAATTCGTCGATTTTATTGCTGATTATGTTCGCCCTATAAGGTGGACAAGAGTGACAATCTCTCCACCAATTGATCAACAGGCCACCAAGAAGATAAAGTGCAACAACAGTCCACATCCAATTAATAAAATGCGAAAGTTCATAAGGATATCCTCGAATTTGATCCCTTTGGTTCCTGCGACTTTCAGAGCCTCTGCGGTTATGTCTCTCTTCCTGTCGCTGTACGAGGGACTTGCGATTGCGAGGATGCAAACGACGAGATGAAGAGACTTCTTCCTTTGGAGATCCCATGTCTTCGGCAAATACGCACCGCGATGGTACTTGTTTCGATTGTTGTGTCGCATCACGGTGCTGCTTGGAAGACAAAGGTGGACAGCGCGCCGAGGCAATCCGAGAAGAAGTTCTTGCCCGCATTGGAGCTCGCGGACTATGACCAGCTTCAAAAACGGGAACCTTGAGGTACCAAGTCAAAATTTTGTTCAATGTAGAGCTTGGAAAAGATTTGTTCTTCATCCAGTTAACGCATGCATTCCAACTGCTATCTCCGTGCAACGAAGGAACCAAAACTGTCTAGCACGTCAATGTAGAGGAAGTATCCTGTGGAGCCGAAAAATAATCAAACATGGATTAATAACGTTCATATTTGGTTTCGGAAAACAGGTGGTGGACATGGAAATGGCATCACCAACACACGACCCAAAGAAAGTAATAGCATTTTCTTGTCCGGGGAGGTTATTGTTTGTTTCTTGAAGACAGCTGACTTCGCACTCGGTAGTTGGCTTTCAAAAATGACCTCATTTCCACGTTCGAGTGATTGAAAGAGATGAGTCCATAGACCTGCCTAAACCTCGCATGTCATGCCTGTGAGGCCTAAATTTCTAATCTTGTACTGACCTGTCCATACTCACGGCACATTTGGCTCTTCTTATCAAAGGCATGGCCATATTTGAAAATGTCTAATCGGGTTTCTAGCCCGGCTAGCATGACGTCTCCATTTCCTCTACGATTTACGGCAGCGGCTCTTAAATCTTTTGCACGTCCTCGTGTCAAGATCTTTATATTATGGGCTTTCGTATTTTTTGGCGGAATTCAAGGGTGGTTATGGTGGGGGCTCGATGCCAGCGCGAGCATGCCTGTCGGCAGTCTCTTTTTGTCCTCCAGCCTCCCAAGCCCTCCCTTGCCTAAACCGAACCAAAGTAATCCTTGTAAGAGCATGCATCAAAATCTATTTGACGCTCAACAGACTCAGCTTAAATTCTGCGAGTCAACTCCTTTACGGGAAGATGCTTCAAGCCCTTCTTCGCCGCGCTATTTGCAAGCTCTCAGGCTCACGTGCCCGCTCAGCGCCCTCTCCTTAGGGAATCGACAAAGGACTATTACACAGTGGGTTGCGGAAAAAGATAGGAATGTGACTTTGTTTGGTTATGCGGAGAAAGACAAGGTGAAGTAACGGGGAAAAAGAGGGCCATGGGCCTCGGCGTGCTCGAAGAGGGGGAACATTTTCGCAGGCAATGCTTCCAACGTCCACTCATTTATTTCACCGTCTTTCCCAGGTGAGTCGAGACATCGCCATGCATGGCTACTGGGAGATGGAAAACATGTCCGTCCTCCTTCTCCTTCTCGAGCGAGCACGCTGGCAGCGGCGGGAGTGGCGGCATCCGGAGTCTCCTTCCCGCCCGCCCCGTCGGGATGAGCTCGTCATGTTGGACGTTGGAGGGAATCTGGGTGAGTCTTAGAGAGTCAATGAAATATCAAGGCTGGTTCTGACCCTCACATGTTAGGCTTACCTCTGTCTTCCCCCTTCTGCCTTCCCTCTCTCCCTTCCCCCCAGGTGCATACACACTATGCCTCGCGACAGCCGGCTTCCGCGTCCTGACTTTCGAAGCCATGCGCCGCAATATTCAAGCCATCCGCGAAGGCATTTGTCGCAATTCAGGGCTGAAAGAGAGAGTGATCCTGTTGGAAAAGGGCTTAGCTGAGAAGGAGGAGGTGCGTGAGAAGTCAGCAACTGCTTCAAGATATGCACCCCACGAGCATAGCCTCATTCGATATCGGTATGAATCTGTATTAGAGCAGGCCTTCCTCCCTTTCTCGCACTTTTGACTTCCTTCCCGTTCCCACGGCGCAATCTTCTCAACCTCAGACGTGTACGCTGGTAGTGGACAAGGAGAATATCGGCGACGGGATCACGCGATGCCAAGGCCAGGGCGTGAGCCTCGGTTCGGAGGAGGTAAGTCAATGGAGTGGGAAGGAAAGATGGAGAGACGCTCATACGTATCTCGTTTTGCCAGGTCAGAGAAGACGCCATTCAAGTCACGACTTTGGATCGCGCTCTCTACTGCCCACAAAGCAGCCGTGACGCTGTGCCCTCTTTTTACACAGGCCGGTGGGTTCCCACCTGCTTTCTTTCCTTCGTTCCCTTTCTCCATCCCCTTTCTCTTCCCTCCCTTTCCGTCGCTTTCCTTTATCCGAGTTACCCGTTCTCCCCCACGATGTGTCGCCATCCAGATATGAAGGGGAACAAGTGTCATTATATTGGCTTCTAAGTCGAAGCTTATGAAAGGGCGACATCTCCACAAAGCCATGGATTTCACACGGAAACCAGCTGACAAATTCTTCTTTCTTTCCTGGCCATTTTCCCTCTTCCCCCCTTCCCCTTTACCTGCCCGCCCCTAGACCCGCGGCACTGAAAATGGACGTGGAAGGCTTCGAAATGCTGGTGGTACAGGGGGGCCAAGGGTTCTTGAATACCTCGGACCTGGCAGTAGTCCTCCACGAGAACGGCCACATGCCCTTCGAGAAGCGTAAGTATCTGCTGGAATACTTTGTGGACCGGGGGTACGTCTTTCTCTGCCCCGAAGAGATGTACGAGTGGGTAGACGGGCGGGGAGGGAAGAGAGGGAGAAAGAGAAAAGTACCCAAAATCGAGGCCTTCGCGGAATTCGACGAACGGATTTTTGACTGCTGGGACATTGCCTGGGTGAAGAAGGAGGATGTGGAAGTGGAGGCCCCCCGCGGGGGGCGAGGGCAGCGATACTGGCTCCTGTTGGACTGACGGGAAGAGTGATCGGGCAAGGCCATGCCAAGAGAGAGAAATAGTCGAGGGAGGTCGGCCTCCTTTCCCCCACTTTGGTCTCCTATTTCTATTCTCCCCGACTTTCTTGGGGGTTCCGGCTGAGTGTTCGGGCTGGCTAAAGACGGCCTTGGAAAAGCGCGCGGGGAGAAATATGAACCCCGTTCTCGGCTTTTTTGAAAGAAAAATAATGTTGCTGGAATGATTCCAACCAAAAAAATTAAAAAAACACGTGGGCTGCATTTTGATCTTTTTTTCTCGACTACATACATTACATAGCCTAAGGACGTGCGCCACTTTAATCCTCGCGTCTCAGCACCACTTCCTTCTCCTATACGGCCACGTCAATCCCCCTTGCCCCCTCCTCGACCCTCCTTTCACTTTCCCCCGCCTCTTTGAACCCGCTGCAACAGACTCTCCAAGGCAATGGGCGCAAAGCCTCCCTCCTCTTTGTCCTCCCCCCGCCCCTCCCGCTGTCGGTTGCCCCCGCTCAAGTCGGCGAAGACCACGTCATTGTCCAGGTAGACGGAGAGCCCGCCGAAGGAATACACCTGATCGATCGGAGAAAAACGGCCAAGGCAACACGCGCTGAAACGCCTCATCCTTTCATACTCTGCCTCCCATCCTGTATTC